TAATGTAGATGAGGCTTTAGGTCCTAATAGTTCCTACAATTACTGCTGAATCTGGCCTTGGCTCAGGAATAAACTCCTTGTATTGAAAAGATTTACTATCCTAACTATATCTGTATCTCAATTTAATGAAAATGTTAAGGATAATTTGATGGTCTCTTGCCAGTGTAATTTTAAATAAAATGTCTTCATTCCTTGGCAGTGTCTGTTGGCACTCAGATTTAACTAAAGGAAGTGCTTAAGTGAAGTGCTTTTTAGATTAAAGTCTTGCCAGTATCTTTTCTGATAGAATAGATTTAATTTTCAGTGTTTTACCCAGAGTAAATAAATTAAAAAAAAAAAAAATTACCTCCCACTGTCAGTCCATATGATAGCAAACCTTAATAAAAGCATTACTAGAAATCAGATATTTTCCTATCACAGGATTTGGACTAATATCAAGCCTCATCTCCTGTAAATTAAAGTATTTCTAACTTATTTACTGTTCATTTATTATGCACTCCTTTAAAAAATCTTTCTGTATCTTGGGAAATAATGTAGCACATAATGAAGTGCTGTCAGTGCATCTTAGATTTTCATCTGAGTTCAGCAAGTCAGCAAAAAAGTTTAGGACACTTTATTATAATTGCATAGGGAATGGAAAGTAATGGTAAGATGGTGACAATTTGGCCATCATACCCTACAGAACTGAGCAATTGCCAAATACAGTCTTGATTGCTTACCCTGTCTAAATCAGGACTGTGTGTACAGAATGAGGCCAGAAGGACAATGCATCAGAAGTTAAATTGTTTGGGGATTAGTTTGAGAATAAAAAAAGACTGTCGATATAAACTAGTGCTCATTCAAAGGGGATGTGTAATAGTCTGAGTAATATTTATTTTCCTTTTAAATAGTCTTTTCTTTTTTAAAAATTTAAGTGTGATTGATTTGTTTTAATATGTAGAATGTATATTCCCAAAAACGATAAAATCTCCCTGACAGTGTGCTCCTACTTACATTAAGGTACCAGGAGCTCCATAATTTTAAAACTTCATAAGTCATCTCAGTTATGTTATCCTTAGCACCCAGCACAACTCGAGACCTTCGTCAATGTTGAGAAGGAATTATTTTTTCTTGTTATTACTGCTACCCACCAAATCTTCATTCCTTTTTCTTCTGCTTTACAAGAGACATTTAGAAGTGTCAACAAGAGACTTTTAGAAGATGGCTTTACTCTGAGTCACTCAAAGTGAAAAAGGAAGAAGATCTTACAACAGCCACATAGGCAGCACAAATTTTTCCTGTCTTTTGGTACCTAGAGGCAGGTCCTGGTGAGACTCTACAGAAGTTTCTCTCTAATGTGGATTGAATGACACTCTACACATATTTTTGACAACTGTGACTATCTTTGTGTTGCTGTTTTAATTTCTGTGGTGTGCATTTACAAGGAAAAGATGGTATTTGCACACACTTGAAAAACTTAATTTCAGGGAGTGAAGAAAACATTGAGTAACAACATCTTTTTAAGAGATTGCATCTGATAAACAATGGGACTACTGCAGACCATCTGTACCTGGGAGCAATGTGTACATCAGCCTGTAGAGGCAAAAAAAGGTACAATTACAGGACAGAGAACCATGATTAGGACAACACAAAAAATGTGGTGGAATGTGCAATAAGGAGATGAGAAAGGTGGGAAACTGCACATGGAGCTAACTTCATTGCAGCAGGTGAGGCAAGTGGATGTTAACACGGCATTCATACAGGAGCAGCATTCCTAGATCCTTGAGCATATGTCAGTCAGGGCCCTGGATGCACCAACAGGATTTAATTGCCCTGAACAACTTCAGCTGGGACCCCCACTCACTCAGCCCACTGCTCATGGGTCCGTCTAAGCTCAGGTGTACCTGTCTCCAGCCCTGCCTCCTGGGTGGACTGTACACCTACACTGTAGCACTGTCTGGCCTCTCTGGACTCATCCCCTCGCCCTGCCTGGGGCTGTCAGTGGACCCTGTGTAACCCTTGCCAGGCTCTGCCCTCTGTCTCTGGATCCGGTGGAATTACATTCTGACCTGGGAGGGCATGGCCTGTGCTGGGGTCATACTTGGCATCCACTCAACTTCCTTCATGGAGCAACCCTGTTGTTGCTGTTCCCTGAGGATATCAAAGCATTCTCTGCTCTGACTTTTTGACTAAGTGACATTGAGTTTTCTGACTTTTGTCCTAAAAATATGTATATGTAAAATAAAACACATTTACAATTTCTTTTATGTTTCCACAAATTCACTGTATTCAAGATACAAACACTCAGTTTATTCTGTTATATAAGTGTTTATTTAATAAAACTACACCTCGAGTGGCCTCCAGGGGCACATGCAAATCATAGAATCATAGAATGGCTTGGATTGAAAGGCACCTTAAAGATCTAGTTCCAACTCCATGCCACAGGCAGGGATACCTTCCACTAGATCAGGTTGCTCAGAGTTGCATCCAACCTGGCCTAGAACATTCCCAGGGATGGGGCATCCACAACTTCTCTGGGCAACCTGTACCAGTGCCTCACCACAGTCACCATAAAGAATTTCTTCTTAATATCTTAACTAAACCCACCCTCTTTTATTTTGAAGCCATCCCCCTTTGTCCTGTCACTACATGCCCTTGCAAAAAGTTTGTTTCCATCTTTCGTGTAGGCTGTCTTCAGGTACTGGAAGGTCACAATTAGGTCACTCCAAAGCCTTGTCTTCTCCAGGCTGAACAATCCCAATTCTCTCAGCCTTTCCTCGTAGGAAAAGTGTTCCATCCCTCTGATCATCTTGGTGGCCTCCTCTCGACTCGCTCCAACGGGCCAATGTCCTCCCTGTGCTGGGGACTCCAGAAATCACCAAGACTTGTCAGATGTTTATTAGCTGGGTAAGAGCCAGGGTCAGCAGAGGGTCTTGTGTCCTGCTGAAATTAGAGCTGAAAATGTCAAATGTGTATTAGTCAAAACCCATCTAATAGAAACCCCACTTTCTGCAGTTTCATGTTTCTTTGGCTTCTTACCTGAGGAGGGACTGCATCCCTAAGCTGGCTTTGCTACTGACAAAAACTGGCAAACTCATGACCTAACAGGTTGCTTCTGTGCTAATGAAAATGACCGAATTAACTGCTAGGGACACCTCGACTAGTCCTTTTCTGTATGAGACTTACAAAGTTTCATCAAGGCTTAAGTCCAATTGAAAAGAATTCTGTCACGTTTGGAATACAGCCTGCTATCGCTGCCACATAGAGCGGTGGGATATTTCATCAGCAATGCAGTGTGTTGAAACTACAAACAAACATTTGATGTTGTATTTCACAATACCCTATACTCCATCTGCATTCATAAACAGTATTTAAGGAGGCCTGGCTTGCTTATACTGAGACTATGTTATCTGGGGAAATGCTGGGCTAATGTTTACTCTTGCTAAGCACTTGTTCCCTTATGAAAAGTCTGAAATTTTAAAATTTAAACTCTTCTGAATGATCCAAATCCAAAGATATCTCAAGAAATATTTTATTTGTCAGTCATCTTGGCACTGGTTAAACTCCATTGTGCTCTCGGTATGAACAGCTGCAAAGCACATACATCCTCTCCTGACATGGATCCTGGCCATTTGTTTGTTGTGATACGCCAATGTGAGAATTCACAAGTTAGGTCTCAGTCGAATTTCCACTGAGGGAAATGAAAGCTGGATTTGGCAGACTGAATAACTACTTTTTGTTATTGCTGTTGTCTGTATCACCTCTGGATTTGGAAGGATGTAGTCACTGCACTGAAAAATGGAGAACATGCCAAGAAATGTAAAGAAGCCTCAGGTGTGGTTTCACTATTCAGGTCTTCTGCTTTTACTTTACAACTTTTTTCTCTTTCTACTTTTCATCAGGTGTTGAGGTCCCAATCCTGTGCAGAGCCCACTTGCACTTTCTTGAGTGTATTTTTCCTGTCTGTGTAAGCACAAAAGCCTGTACCGGTGTGTTTAAGTGTTCAGTCTGCACACAGGTCATGAAGTCTTTGCAATAAGGAAGGTCCATCATATGTCCCTCTCTTCCTGGAGAGGAGAAGGCTCAGGGGTGACCTTGTCACTCTCCACAACTACCTGGAAGGAGGTTGTAGCCAGGTGGGGGTCGGTCTCTTCTCTCAGGCAACCAGTGACAGGTTGAGAGGACTTAGTCTCAAGCTGTGCCAGGGGATGTTCAGGTTGGAAGTTAGGAGGAATTTCTTCGTGGAAGGGATGATTAGACATTGGAATGGGCTGCCCAGGGAGGTGGTGGAGTCACTGTCCCTGGAAGTGTTTAAGGAAAGACTGGATGTTGTACTCAGTGCCATGGTCTAGTTGATGCGGTGGTGTTCAGTCATAGGTTGGGCTCGATGGTCTCAGAGGTCTTTTCCAAGCTAACTCTGTGATTCTGTGATATGCTTACCCTACAAAAACTATAAATTATACATCTATATCTATATACATATATATGAGGGGGGTAATAAGTTACCACAGCCCACTGACGCTGAGGAAGGCAGTCCTGGCCAAAGCCGGGCTGGACTCTCAGCTCAGTCCTCGCCCTCAGCACGGCCCATCCAGGCAGGATGCGGCACAGCAGCCCAGCCCGGCTCCAACCGCCCCTGCACACCCGCACAAAGCTCCTCTGGAAAGCGGGAACGTGGAAGTTTCGGTGGAACACCCGCAGCCGGACCGACCCCCGGACCCGGCGGCAGGGGCCGAGCGGGCGGGGGCGGGTGCGGCGGGCGCGCCGTGTGTCGGGAGCGGCGCGTCGGGCGTGCGGGGCGGGGCCGCGCATCTTAATCTGCAGCAGGCCGGCGGGAGCGCTCCAGGCCCTTCCGCCCTCCTCCTCCCGCTCCCTCCCACTACGCTCAGCCCGCCGCGACGGTCAGGAAGGGGGCGACCGTGGATAAACGAAGGCCGCGGGGAAGGGGGGAAGGCGGGACGGGGAGCACCCGTGGGGGCGGGCGGGCCGCGGGGCGCCAGCCCCCGGGGGGTTCGTGCGGCCCTCCCGCTCGGCCCTGCCGGCCCGGGCCCCGCTCCCCATGGGATAAGCTGTAAACATGTTCAGCTTTGAAGGGGATTTCAAAACAAGGCCCAAGGTGTCCCTCGGAGGAGCGAGTAGGAAGGTAAGGAGAGGCGCCCGCCCGTCTCTGTGTCTGTGTCGGTTCCCTCGCCCCCCGCCCTGTGTTATCGGTGTTTTTACCGTCGGGCCTTCGGGAACGGGAGCGGCGATGACTAAGGTTTAATAGAGGGGGGAAAAAACCCTTCCCTCCTGATGATATGTTTATCTCCGATCTCCCCGGCTCTGTGTTACTATTTTTTTTTTTTTGGTATAATCAGGCCACACGCACACACCATCGCAGGCTTATAGTGTGGTGAGAATTGTGGGAAGCGAGGAAATGTCTCCTTGGCTCGTCCCCCCAGCAGGGCGATCGATGTGGGGTGTCGTGGCCGGTGGCACCTCCCGAGCAGCCGGTCTCCAGGTCTTCCGGGGGCAAGGACTCCTGTCATTTCCCTCCAGAGGGAATGTCTGGCGCTCACCCGCCTGGCTGGAGGGATGTGGGACACACACACACACACACACACAGCCTCACACAACCCGAGAGTCACTGGAATTGCTGGGGGAGGTTCATCCACGTGAGCCGGGGCTGCCGGGTTGGTCTCCGTCAAGTTTACGTTCAGTCAGTTTGTCGTGTGCAGGGTGAGTTAATTGTCAGTTGTACCAGACTATTGGATCTCCTGGTATTTATTGATGGAAAAGGAGCGGGATGGTTTATTTAGATCTTGCTGATTGGACAGGGTAGTCAGATGTTTAGTCAAGCACTGAAGGGCACAGGACCGAGGAACGGGAGAAAGGACCAAGTGTTTTTAGAAGTGTCCTGATCTCTAGGGGTCACTTTAATTCAGTGTGAAAATAAAGATCCCCATGTTGTCATGGGAGATGACTGCGTGGGAAGGTAAATGAGTGTTTTCGTTAGTATTTTTGAATTTTAATGGAGTAAAAATAAATCTTAAATTTTCGTTATTGTGCATTGTAAGTGATTTTGGTTCTTGGAAACTTTTGGCAGTACAGTTAGGAAGCGGGCTAAAATACTCCATTATGTGATATTAAAATCACGGTGAAGTTTGCATTTTGGTATATTGTCTTAACACAAAGAGAATGTGTAACAAAATTGTATTTAAATTGTGCAGCTTTTCCTCTGATTCATCTTCTCTTTATCTCATGACATTTCTGTTCATTAGGCTACATACAGTGGTACTACATGAGTCAAAATGCCATAAATATTCCCCAGCTGAAGTAGGAATTGGCAGAACACACCCTGGTCCTCAGCTGTACACTTTAGGTACTTTACAACTTTTGACTTGCTCATAGTGTTTGTTCCTGAAGTAAACAGCTGTCATGACATCATCTTTTACACTTTTTGATTATGAAAATTCATCAGAATTAAGCCTATTTTAATTGTATGGGACAAATTGATTAATGTTATAGAGGTATAAATTTCCAAGGGCAAATATTAAAAGGTAAAGGATTGGAAACTGAAATTGATGCAGAACCTTTATCTGCAATACAGAGATTGTATTCCATGATCAGATTGATACTGACTGGTCCACAGACTTCATGATTTTACATTGCTTCACTGAAGTGCTTGTGCTGCATCAGTGCAAATCAGTCACACACAGCTTTGGGCATCATGGCTGTAAGGACATCATGCCCTTGAAATAGCTGCTTATTTTCAGAAACTGTGTACAGTACTAGTGAAATAATGTATTTAAACAGTACTAAAAATTACTTCTAAAATGCAGTTTACCTGCAATTTTATTAAAACATCTTGCAACAGAGATTGGTGTGGGAAGTGTTTATGTGGGTTCCATGAGTTTCTCGTTATTTCACATCATAGGCTCCCTGTGATCATGTTTCTCATAACTATAGGCTTCATTTTTACAGAAGGCCAAATTGTAAAATGTTTCCCTTCAGCCTTTTGTGCACGTGCTAAAAAACCCCAGGTCTTTGACAAGTGCACTTGCCCCCTCCCAAATGGGGTATAATTTTAGAAAGATGCAGTGAATAGTTCCAGCGCTGCACCTCTGCTGTGCTTTTGATGGTCAGCTGGATACTTAGTGCTGCCTATTGTGGTTCCTTTGGTAGAAAAAAGCAAAACTCGGAAATAGTGGTGGCATCTGTATGCAGGCTGCTTAATGCTGAGAAAAACCCTCTGCCCAGTTTGGGGAAGTTTCCCAAATTGCTGTTGCACTGGTACAGCTACATCAGCAAACCCGTCCCAGCACGAAGCAGCGACGCCCCTTTGAGGAGCCAGTCAGTGCTAAAGGTGCCAGTGGAGTGCCATGTGAATATGACACCAAACCAGTGATCAGAAGAACTGACCCATTAAAAGTGTGGCTTTGCTGGTGTAACTGCAGCTGCAAACAGTAACTGTGTTGGACACGGCTCACACGTGTTGACACCTGGCTGACACCGCAAGTGTGTCTGTAGCATTTCCTTAGGCCTCAGAAGGGGCTGATGTCAGTGAGTTCTGTCAGTATAGGCACAAGGATAAAAATATAACTGGGGACCTGTGGCACTGTGGCAGTTAGAGAGGTACTGAATCTAGTGTGCCTTCTCCTCCCTAACTTTTATGGCATTTTTGGATTACAAAACCAGAGCTTCAGGTCAGTTTTCCGCTGTTTACATCCTGTGTTCATGTGTGTTGTGGATCAATCGACCCAACCCTTCTGCCAAAAAAAGTGATTTTTAAGTATCGCTCGTTGTTGTCCTGGGTTGCAAATTAACTTTCTCAAAATTACTATCCTTGTGACTGATTCTTTAGGAATATTATTGTAGCATTATAATATTGCATTGTACATAAATGTAAAAATATAGGTGTTATTGCCAGTATTTGGACATTTCCCTCCATACCTATTTTCAAGAATCTGCTGATTCATTTGGACTATTTGAACTGTTGTATGTATATTTGAGGGTGCAGATATAGTGTTTTATTTACAATGTGATAAGGTAATGTTAGTGGTTCTTTTATTATTTATTTACTTTCATTTTTGGGGTGGCTTATTGTCACCTTCAAAACACAGTTCTCTGCTTTATGAGGCTTTTCAAAAGATAATTTCAGACTTAGGTCCATTGTAACTGGAAAACATATGGTTTTACTTCTGAAGTCAAGTAGTTCCCAAGAGTGAATACTGTTATTGGAGTTCAGTATGGGAATGTCTTGAGTTACTCATGGACCTTTTGTACAGGACAGTAGTTGTTGCCTGAGAGGCTGTGGCTGCTGAGTGCCTGTGGTGTGTTAGGCAGGAAATAGGGAGCTGTGCCTGAAGAGTTGGCTTGGGGTGCAGTTCACATTGCACAAACACAACCCAACTGTGCAGGGGACTGGAACAGATGGTGCTTCACCTGGGTGGTTCCCTGCCCATCCTTTGTGTCCGGTGTAGAGAACATGTTTCTGCAAGGGGGAGTGTCACTGTGCCTTCTGGTGGCAGCTGGCAGGTTTCACTGGTTTTAGCATGAACTTGGACTTTTGTTGTCAAAGCGCAAAATTGGTTTAACCAATTGATTTGGTACAGTCAGGCCTAGTGTTCCTTTATTTATTTTTTTAGCATTAAGGTAGCAATCCTTTAGTGGATCCGTGCAGGGGAACCCCCAAGGGATGTTCAAGAGGTTCCGTAATTCCACATCATTTGGTTACATTGTGAAATGTATTTAATGACATCTTGTAAGTCTTTAACAGAAAGAATGGTTTAAAGAATATTAATCAGAAAAATTTATGGTATCACTTGAGATATCTAAACCATGCTTTTATAAATTCCAAGACTGTTTAAAATAGAGGATTTTTAAATTATAGTATATTATGAGATGATTTTAAAAAAGCCTTCCTTTTTCAGAATTTGTAATACAGATGAGTTAGCACTGTGTTTAAAGTGAAAGTGAAACCAACTTCATAGAGTTTGGGGTTTTTTTATATTTTGGGGGTTTTCTTGTGAAACACATGGAAGCTTAGTAATGAGCAAATAGTGATGACTCCATCTGTATTTTAAAATATGAACAGTTTTAATAATAAGACATCTTCAATTTACAAAGATTGTTTATATTTTATTCTAGTAGCTACTGATGCGCTTTCTTAAACTAGTAGCATAACACTAAGCATTAGATTACTGTGTATTTTTCCCCCTGTTCTTAGCTGAAGTGCAGAGGTAGAACTCCAGAAGTACCTTGTTTGCTCTTTGTTGTCTGTAATCTACACATGAAGTAGCTTCTTGTGGAATAAAAATGTTTTAAAAGCAGTAGGCTGTAAGATTGCCAGGGTAGGGAGAGATCTGCCAAGGTTGGGATTGCTTATCATGGTAGATGTCTGTAGGATATAAACAGTGATGGGGCAGAGTTATAAACCAGTTTTGTTTCTCTCTTACTGACTGAGGAAAATTGTTAATAATTTCAGGAAGGAAGAATTTAGTGTTTTGTAATAACTTTTTTGAACCTACACCGTGTCACAATGGAACTGAAATGATGCCAGTGATGTATAGTGCAGGAATTTTAGACTACAATTATAAAGTCACTGATTATTTTTGAATAATGGGAAAGAATTGCACTGCTTTGCTCCCTAAAACCTTTACCCCTTAAAGCACATGGTGTAGGTCCTTATACAGGTACATACCTCATTCTGAGTCAGAACTGTGTTTTGCCCAGAACATTGAAATGTGAAAGCCTAAGTCTTGAAATACCTTTTGAATTTCAGATCCGTGGTGTGGAAGTATGAGGAGACTATCATGTTGTAAAAATGACTGTCAGTAGGAAACTATATAGTTAATGGATATTAGGTTCTTGGGGATTTTCTTCCTCTCTGTAACATTTAAAATTCTCCTCATTTGCAAAGAAGCTACAAAAGATGCAGTTGTAGTTAGCTGACAGCAGTGATTGTGCTGCTGTTTTCCGTTATGAGTTATTTTTTCATATCCAAAACCAAAGTTGCCATTTTTATAAATACATTTTTTTTCCTACTTGTTGCTGAGAAAGTGAAAAGTCATAGGATGGTTTGGGCTGGGAAGAACCTTAAAGATCACGAGTTCCAACCCCTTTGTCATGGACAGGGACACTTCCCACTAGAAGTCACTCAAG